CACATCAACAACCCTACATCATGGCTCAATAACTGCTAATGGTTAGATAATGTTGTAAATAATTGTGTTTCTCAAGATGTGACAGAGGACCTCATTTCAAAAGATGGATAGATCCATCTATCCCAGATGTCTTCTTCTCTATTAATGGCAATGGGACGAGTTTACAGTATCGCTCTTCATTTTGTGGTCTCCAAGATACATTAACTTCAAGGCAAGATATATGACTGTTTATTCAAGATGTGATGGAAAACCACATTTAAGAAGGATAGATCCATGTATTCCAAATGTCTTCTTCTCTGTTAATGGCAATGGGATGAGTTTACAGTGTCACTCTTTTTTTTGTGGTCTCCAAGATATATTAACTTCAAGGCAGGACATGTAATTGTGTTTATTCATGATGTCACATTTCAAAAGACAAATAGATCCAAGTATTCCAAATGTCTTCTTCTATGTTAATGGCAATGGGATGAGTTTACAGTGCCACTCTTAATTTTGCGGTCTCCAAGATATATACTAATGTCAAGGCAAGACATCACAAATTTTCACACACTGAATGTTGATGGGCTTTCAAATGATACATTGGCTCCCATGTATTCTTGGTCAAACGACTCAAACCTAAAATATGTGTCTCAGTCTTAACTACTATATATCTGGAACTGTGTTGTAAAATATTAAATTACCTTTATAATATTCATAGGGCACCATTATTTATTAATTATGGCAGCGTCTAAATCTTGATTAAAACAAACCCAAATCTACATCTTTCCTTATCCTAATATTTTCGACATCAGAACAGACCAAAATTTCCTATCTGTGAACATGGTATAAAGAAGAGCATAGAGACAAAGCTTTCAGGAAATGTTTCCTATATATATACTTCTAAGGCTTGGTACACCACACATGAGATGAGTCTTCAATATCTAATGTGAATAATAAGTTTATTGCTGCTCCTCACAATGGAATATTCGCCCATCTCAAGTTCATTGTCCTGAATGATCGATATGTCCAAGTTGTTACCTACGTCACTAATATATAATGTTTAGCTTGATGTTCCAAGGTTTGCATAGACTAGCTTAAATATCCCTTCAATGCAGAATGTTCAAAGAAATTCATAAGTGTAATCTGCAAAAAAAAAAAAAAAACACACCTGCTAGCTGTCGTACAAGTTTGGGATACAGTGATCATGCGCTGTGCAAGAGAAACTATTGATAAAGATCTCATCGCACAGAACTCTGATGAGGCCTTCCAAAGCTGAAAAGCAAAGTATTCCTTAGACTAGCTAATAGCAGTAAAAGTGAGATGCCAATAAAAGCTCTGGTCTGGGATAATTACCTCTAGAGTAGCACTCAAGCCAGGGAACATCAGTGTCAGGGATCCTCTATCCCCAATTAGTCCAGAACCTATATGACAACCTTCTGGTTTACAAACACTCATTTCATGCATTAGTAATTTGTCTAACTCCTGATCAACACCCCATAAATGTAGAAAACATAAGCTGAATCTAAGTAAATACCCCTCAAGCGATCCTTTAACAAGACAGTTTTCAAGTCCTTGGGAATCAAAACTAGAACCTCTATACTGAAAACCTGGTTCCTTGGGATCAAGTTCAGGAAGGTGAATATTCACCTGCTTATCACTGTTTTGTTTAGAGAGCGGAGACATAAGATATGAAAGGTCAAACTTCAACACTGCAATTCCTGGGAATGGGCAATAACATTTCACAGGATGCTTCTTCTTTTCATTAAACCTTTGTGATTTTGCTCGCCTCTTAAAACTATTTCTAGCTAAATCATGATTATATGAATCTGGCGAAGGTACCAAAAGTGGTACCTTTCCCCTAGTGTGCTCTGCCTGAATGGTGCTCATGTCCAAGGAACCCATGCTTCTATGAGATATACCAACTTTAGACAAGTTCACACCAGTCTCTAATTTTGCTGCATGGGATTGTGAAATTATTGCATCTTTAGGAGCTGAAAGGAGCAATGAAGATGCTGAAGTTGTACCGCCCAATATGCTGCCTGTAATAGAGTTTTTGTGGATGCCTCTACAGAAATGATCAAACATTAAATGAGAAGCTGTACCCCTAATAATTCGCTCTCGAGCACCTGTTTTCACATCCCAAAGATATAATACAGTGACAGCATCTGATGATGATTGGAGGTTTTTGCACAGACAAGCTATGTAGCCTTTTGTGCTATCCCATGCAACCATCGAAGGATAGCTGGGATGTCCAGGAAACATTCTTTCAACACCCAACGCCTCCAGTGAAATAAGGGCTACGCAACAATCCTCCCCAACAGATAAAAAGCAATCATTCCAAGGATGATAAGTCCAGGGTGGCGGCAATATAATTTGCCTAACAGGAGCTACATGGTGGTGCATTACTGAAACAAGATTACCTGTATCCATATTCCATATCCGGATGGTACAGTCCATACTTCCCGAGATCAAAATATGATGAAAAGAATCCGCTTCTGAATGTGCAATCATACGATGTGCAGCCAAACAAAGAACTGAACCTGTGTGCCCTGTGAAGAAACGTTCAGAAGTTTGTAGATAATTCTGGTAATTAGTACTACCTGTATCAGAATTCACCTCACGGAACACATTAATAAATTGAAGTATTTGTATCTGACCACTATAGAAACCATAAACTACAGCATATGGACCAAAGAAATCTTCAGAAAGGACCATTGAAGATGACACAATTTGATCGTTTGATCCAAAAAAGTTATGGCTGTCATCACCACACTCAACATTCAAACCACTGGTGTGTCCAAAGTAGCTGTGCTGGATGTTTTTCTCTGTACTCTCTCCTGCCTCATACACAGAACACGAGAGCTTCCCAACTGTATCCCCTGCAAAACCCCCTTCCCCAAGCAAATTGGCTACAAAAAGGCTACAAGGATTATCATCTAGGATTGCTTCCAATTTTGCAATTGACCATTTTGTGACGTAAGGTTTCCATAGTAACGCCCCACCAACTGAGAAACAAAGTGATTCTGTGCGAACAAGACAACGATTTATTTGACAGAAATAAGCTGATCCTTTCTCACTGGGAACAACAAGTGTTGCCGGAACCTTGCAGAGAGGCTCAAACTTGAATGTAACTCCCGAGAGTGATACCATGTACACCACTCCAGCCCCGCTACTACTCCAAAGAAAAAAGCTCCAGGCAGAACCATCAGCCAAATCCTCAGGCTCTGTTGCACTGTGCTCGATGTCTTTCTTGAGAAACATTCCTCCCACCAGCTGAGACTTCTTAGTATAATTCTCATTGCAGAGGGGACTACCATCTAAATAGATCTCGCCGACAGTGACACCATCGTTTACCGACTTGAAAACACAGTAATTCTCCAGTACGAGAGCTAAGAGCTTCCCATCACCGGTAACCGCCACTGCTGTTGCTTGAGCTTCAGAAGTCTCCCCGGAAACAGACGGAACGGCCTCCAAAGACGAGCCTCTTTGGAGAATGGTGCCTTCTTGATCATCATCATCGCTCTCTGAGACCGTCAAGAACTTTGTCTTTCCATGTCCGTCAACCAAGATGGCATCTTGCCTCTTCTTTCCTCCATCCTCCGCCACCGGAACCACCACCATCGACTTCACTGGACCAATAGGCAGGCCCCCGTGGAAGACGGTCCGCAACACGTTCAGCGACCACGAGTCGACCACGACCACCGCGCACTTCGGGCCTTCATTCGCATGGTGGCCGGCGGAGTCAGCGGAGGTGCAAAAGACGCAAACGTACCGCGGGGACAAAGGCAGCGGAGACAGCAGCAACGGCGTCCCCGACCACGGCGGCAGTTTTCTTCGGCGGCGGCAGCGGCCGCTCCCGGCGGTCCAGACGCAGAGCACGCCATCGGCGCAGGCGCTCAGCAGCGCGGCGGCGGCGGGCAGGCTGGACCCGGCGGGCGAGCAGGCGGCGAGGTCGGAAATAGGCGCGGCGTGGCCACAGAGCAAGGCCACGGGGCGGATCTCGCGCCCGGCGGAGAGGCTCCACCAGACGATGGAGCCATCGGATCCGCCGGTGTAGAGGGCGGCGGCCGGGTGGGGGAGGGCGACGGCGGCGGTGACGTGGTGCGGGGGAGGGGCGGCAGGCCACAGGGAGGCGACGGAGGGGCACTTCATCCGGCGCGGTGCCCGTCCTCGAGCGGTTCCCTCTGTTCCGTTCATCACCAAGTAAGCCCCCCTTAATTAGCTTCACGGGGGCAAGCGACGGCTCGGTCCACCGCCTCACGAAGCGCTGGGGTTGGAACCGGTCCGGCATCGCGTCCGCGGCCTATTGGCTTGGTCGAATCATGTTCCCCGGTGTCGCAGCGACTCCAGTATGACCTACTGAGCCCTGAAAACCCACAAGGCGGCTTCGAATCTACCTTATAGTGATGTGGGACCCACTTCTCACACCCAATCGGGGAGACTGCATCAACCCGGATATGTTTCTCGGGTGATTCCATCATGTTATCATACTTTTACGCCAAAAAGAAACAAGAAGCGTTCGACGGCCGCAATAACGAGGACTTTTTTCTAGCACAAATGGACGGCTATGATTGGCTAGAGATGGGACGAACGGCCGATGGACTCAGGAAGGCCCCGATCCAAGCCCGCCGAGACCCAAAAGCACAATAACGCGGCCTCGCTGCCAAGTTCTCCGTTACCGGGTCGGGCGGAAATAGAGACCCACACCCGACTCCGAATCATCGTCCGATGGCAAGAAGGAAGACTCTGTTTTGCTCGAGTGGGCAGTATGGAATAGCAATCAACCGTTGATGCAATTTTCCGTTGACTTAGAGTCAACGATAGCAAGTCAAGATTAGTGCCAAGACGATGCCGAAGCTTTGCGTTATAGCAAGTCAAGCTTTGTGTTGTCAGGTTTAGAGCTGTGTTGTTGTCATCGCTGACCCACTGGTCTACTGGCTGATACACCCTTTAGTGAGGCATTTGCTATTGTTTTCCTGAAGGAGGCCTGTTAGCAGTAATCTCATGCACAAAATTTGGTGAAACATTATTTCACTGGATCTTTTTCAAAAATTACATAAAGAAACAAGCATTTAATGTTCAATTAGGTTTAGCAACATCTATTCAGTAAAGGGAAAAGGTAGATAAATCCAAGATTTAAAGACTCCAACAGGAAAATGACCTAAAATTTCAACAGGAAACAAACACCTTTCAAGGACCACGGACAAGTTGGGATGGAGATATACAAGGCCACTAAACATCACATTGTAACCTCTGGCTAAATTTACTTCACACATTTGGCATCGGGGCAAAGTTGGATTGGTCTTTTAGCGTGTCAGATTCTCTCTTAAATTCGCACTCCTGGAGCACCGTGCAGTCCCGGAAATTTGATTGCCATTCAGCAAGCTTCTCGAGGTCCCAAATGTAGAACCCACCTCATATGACCACATATCCCTAGCAAATTCACACAAACGTAATCTCATTACTGACATATAACAAATCTATGTATTTGTAATATCAATAGTTCTTATATCTTAAGTCAGAACAAGAACTGTTTAACGAGTTACTTGAACCCTGAATGCATTCCGAGCTATAATCAGTTGTGAAGTGAGCATGGTTATAGTATATAAACAAAGATGAAAGTAGCAGAATACCAAATAAGAAGTTTTGAGGTATAAATCAGCTATATATGTTGGTTATGTAGATAGGGTATAAAACCGCAACAAAAGATCATTATTATGAATTCAACTAAGATATGAATAACCCTCACCTCATTCTTTCCATACACAATAAATAAAAGATCACCAAAAATGCATATAGTAAACCAAGTTTCTAAATTTTGGTCCAGTATTGATCCAATTTTTCAGTGGAGTTGTTCCATAATGGTATAGTTGGGAGTTTGGTGTACCATGTATCCATATGCCCCCATGCCAAGAGATACATGTTTGGCTGGAGGAGGAGGAGGAGGAGGCATGGGTCACGTGTTATCATTATAAAATATTTTTTTTCTGTCCATAACAGGAAAAACAAAAAAGAAGGCAAAAAAAGAGATTAAGATAGACAAGGAAAAAGGGGGAGAAAAGGAAACAGGTCAGAGGGTAGGTGGAGAGAGGAACTAGCAGAATAAAGAATCGAGGGAGAAAAACTGAGGTTGAGAGAAAATTATCGACATTGTTATGATCAGGCAAAGATGGGGGAAGATATTCAACTTAAGAGATGGGATGATGATTGTTTTATAATTTTCACTAAAGTAGGCTGTCCTACAATCACAATATTAGAATGTATAGTATGTAAGAATATCAATAAAAAGATGACTGGCAAACAAAGCCACCTTTCGCCATAGAAAACAGAATGGCAACGCATCCAAAGAACAAGTCAAAGCAGTATCAAAACAATCTAATTGCAGCAATGACTTGTGCATAAGAATCCATGCATCTAGTCCAAATAGCAGCAATTTTCTAAGAAGCTAAATCTGACTAGATGATGGTCAGAAAGAAGACAGTGTGGATTTGCTTATTTAAATGATTCGTATTTAAGTTACCAAATATATCAATCTTCCCTGAGTCATTACAGCAGCTTGCATTAGAATTATTTGCTTATTTAAATGATTCATATTTAAGTTACCAAATATATTTATCTTCCGAGTCATTACGGCAGCTTGCATTAGAATCATTAAACTACAACATCCACATTAAAATTTAAAATTCAAAAGCTTAAAAACTCAAAACACCATACCTATAAGATAAATGAAAAAGTTCAGTATGGAAACGACTATATCCCCTAGGTTACCAAACATATGAGATATCTTCTTTATTAACATATGAGATATCTAAAGAGAACTGAAACTAACACACAAAAGTATATGCTTCCATCTTGATGAAAGAGACTCAACAGATGGTTTTTTATAAATGCTTCATTCATGACTTCAATGCTGGTAGGAGTCTCCACCATCTACTATTTGTAGATGATGACCAAATGTTGCAACAGAAAATCCCAGCAATAGTTAAGCAATATTGAATGGGACACAATTAAAGAAAATATAGTACTATCTCAAACATATTTGTTCATCATACAGTAGTCTTAGGAGTGGTTACACAGTAAGAAATTGCTAATACGTTACCTTTCTAGGAGGTGTTCCTGGTTTTAACAAATTATTTCCGAATCCCTTCTTCTTATCAGCTGGTTTAAGAATTTGAAACGAGCATGTCAAAGTGTCATCTACACTCATCATAGCACCAGCGTTATCAAACTCCCCACAATAGTTTGGGGCAGAGAATATTGTCACCAGCTGGCGCTTTGCAAAGAATTCATAGCCATCTTCCACAACCTGCCAAAACAGATTTGCTACATGCATTACAGTGAACTGGATTTGTTACTCAAAAACACCAAGTTGGAAGCAAGTGGTCAGTTAGCAAGATCACTGTTCCATGGTTCAATTGCTTCAACAAATTGCAATGTGCCATCAGGATCACACTGATAAAGATAGTAAATTGAAAAGACAGCAAACATGAGTCCATAGCTTATAGGAAATGTTGCCTTTGAGTTTGTTTCAAAAATGAGAGAAAATATATTGACACAATCGAAGTTTCAAGATACCACTAACCTGGTGGGCACGGCAGATGAGATCTAGATCATGCTTCCGAAGAAACTCAGCTACTTTGTCTGGCCCGAAAGTATAAGAGACACCTCTATCATTCTCTCCCCAGCCATCAATATCTTTGTCAGGGTCTGACCATAGCAAGTCACAGAGCAGACCTTGATCTGGAACATCCAGCGGACGAGCAATATTTCGAATCTGGTCCAAGCTCTTCAATTCAGGAGATAGACCCCCATGCATACAGAGTATCTTTTCATCAATAAGTGCCGCAACCGGGAGGCAGTTAAAACAATCAGTAAAGACTTTCCATAGGCGAACGTTGTATCTCCTCTTGCACTCATCATAAAAACCATATATACGATTAATGGAAGCACATTCATGGTTACCCCTTAGAAGGAAGAAGTTCTCTGGGTACTTAATCTTGTATGCAAGGAGCAGGCATATAGTTTCTATGCTCTGCTTACCACGATCAACATAGTCCCCAAGGAACAAATAATTTGCATGCGGTGGGTATCCACCATATTCAAAAAGCCGAAGAAGATCAGTGTACTGACCATGAATATCTCCTGCAGTGACAAAAGTAAAGTTCAATATACTAAACAGGGGATTCAAATTCAGTTTTTGTATTTGTAAGCCTTTATTCGGACAACAATTGATATTCCAGGTCTAAGACAGAAATTATAGGAAGAGAGCTAAGCAAATTGAGTTTTTGTATTTGTATGCCCTTCATCAGACAACTGATATTCCAGGTCTAAAACAGAAATTATAGGAAGAGAACTAAGCAAATTGAGTTTTTGCATTTGTATGCCCTTCTTCAGACAACAACTGAAATTCCAGGTCTCAAACAGAAATTATAGGAAGAGTACTAAGCAGACAGAAAAATGATCAGGGTTACAGCAAACAACTATTGATGCTAAGCTAATGATGTCTTTGTTATTGCAATAAATGACAAGTATAAAACAATGATATTGACAAGGCATGACATCCAACCATCAATTGTATTAAATTAATTTTTAAATTTCATTCATATCAGGACAGATAGGGATAAGTCAATACCACTGTCCTTGTGTGAGGTGGGGGCCCAGGCGGCTTGAGTAAACCCACCCCGAGTTGTCTCATTGCCATCGATAATATCACGCACATATAACCTTCAAATTTTAATGAATAAAGTGGTATTCAATTAAACCTAACTATGGCAATCAATTCAATCTTGTCGATATTGTCGACATCGACAAGAAACTTCAACAAGAGACTCCATCAGCAAGTGAAATTTCTGACCCACCATCATAAATGTCACGAGGATGTGTAAAATACAAGAAAAAATAAAATTGGTCGAGTTGTTTCCCCAACAAAGGCATTCAATTGTAAAGAACAAAACCAAGATGACATTGCTAAGATAGTAATAACAAGCAATTTAAGCACGCATTAAGCAAGAGTGGCAATCAATCTCGGTACTCAGCGGATTGCAAGCCCTAAAGAAGAACGATGCTCCACTTCGAACGCGCAGGAACCAAATAGGCAAAGCTTTCGACCAGAGAAAACTACTCCAAACACAAAGGCGCAACGAAAGTCAAATCTTTTTCTTATTTTACCGCAAATCTTGATGGGGGCCTCGAGCTCCAGCAGATTGGGCTGCCTGACAAAGATCTCCTTCGACGCGACGCAGAGCTGCCGGATCTCCGCATCCGTCACCCGCGCGCTCTTGGCCGCCTGCACCCCCTTGGCCACCAGAAGCCGCCCTATGACATCATCCAACACCGCCGCGTCCATCGGCATCCTCGCTTTCTCCTCCTAAAACCCCCCACTTCCGGGCCCTAATCCCTGCAGTTCCTCGATCAATCGGTGGCGAAGGAAGCAGGAAGAAGAGGATCGAGAGGGAGAAGATCAAACCCGATGTATTCTACGGAGGGTCAAACTATGGGTAGGCTTTGGAGGGCGAAGTGGCTCTCTCTTCTCTTCTTTATACCTTCCCGCCTCTCTCCCCATCCATCGGTCCATCGGAAAACGGAGGCTGCGTGACTCGGAGCCCTAATAAACCTCGGTATCGCTTCAACATATCGGCTCCGCATGAAAATATACCGGCACGAATTAATAACGGAAATGTTTGTATCTGCGCATCGCAACGGAATAGTCTGTGCCGTTATAAGTTGTGTAACGTAAACCTCGGAACTGATCATAACTCCTAAGCCACATATCAGCTGGACCAAATCACAACAAGAGATGCACTAGGATGAACGGTTCAGATTTTTCTGGTGTTGGAATTTATTTATCTACCCCTCTTTTATATATATATATATATATATGAACAATAATTGTGTGTTGAAACATTATAGGAAAAATATATTCACTCCTAATGAAAGTTCAACACTTGGCTTCCGAGATAACAAAAGAAAACGAAAACCTTCAAACACTTAGTAGTAGTGATTAATGTCAGGAGATTTGCCCTCCAATTTTAAACCTAATCCACTTTAAAGTCCAACCCAACCCCATCATATAAACTCAATTTGAAGAGAATGCCGCATCACCCACAACCATAAATTTTGCACTACGCTAGTGCTTCATGGAACACTAATTACTTGTCAAAGAGAAATAGCAATTCGATGAACACAAAAGCATCTGTAAGAACTAGGACTTGTTGCATGAGGAAGGTCTATCGTACATATTTCACAACATTTAAAAGAAACTTCCAGCTTCTTGTTTAAATACAGGCATGCTAGATATTCAATCAAAGTCTACAAACTATTTCTAACTTGTTAGAAAGCACAACCACCCAATACTAAAGAAAAAAGAAGTTATTTTGCTTAATATTAGAAGACAGTCTAAGATTCTTCCCTAAATTGAGAATTCAATTTATAATCTTCCAGTGTCTTGGAATCTGATGTAACAGATGTTTAAAGAGTATACCACCGAAGACAGATGAGATGTCTGCTCCATGTAGTGTGTATCCTGAAAAGCACAGGTATAAAAGAACATCATATACCATGTTACTATTTTTTTCTTATAATAGACTAATTACATCAGGAAATTTTGTACTGGAAGGATAGAAATAAACGACAGCCGGACCATCCTAGCAATCACTGCAACAAAGACCAGTTGCTAATTGATGTTTATTAACAACGGAAAAAGTGGAGGATACAAGCCATAGAGATCTAGAGTTATTGAATACTGTAAACAAAAGAGATCACTAGTCATAAGAGAGAAGCACCTTGTTAACTCCCACCACATGTTACGGTAGTTTAGGTTTGAAAAGATTATGTAGGACAAGAATGTAGGAAAACTTGAAGCAATGTTCCTTTTTATCACAAAGTGTGTTATAGATCCCACTGAAGGTGATAATAGAGACCCAAATATTGTGGGGATAAAGGAAGTGGGATATATTGTCCACCTTTGGCTACTCATATGCTTCTTCAAACTCATATCTCCTGCAAGAAAATACTCCGATGATATTATTGTTGATGTCCAAGTCCACAGTAATTTGACATAAACCATTAACAAAAGTACAATCTAAGCACCAGAACCCCATTGGGACTTAACCGGGCATCTTGATGTTGTGATGTAAAGATTCCAATAGCCTCATCTTGGTGTTAACAGGTTTTGCTTAAACTATTAAGACTGTGCATGGTGTCAATGTGAAGCTGAGTTTGAAGATAACATAGTTCAAACAAAATTAATTAAGGTCAAAATACAATCTGATTCGTTACATGCTTATATGACTTTGCATGCACTATTTGATTGCATCCAAATGGCTACTATCCCAAAGAGAGCATGAGATTGTTCATTGAAGGTAAACTAGAATCTAGATAACGTATTTGCTAAATTGACTTGTTCAAGCTTGAACTAAAGATAAAAGGATTTTATGATCCATTGTATCTACAATAAGATTCACTTATCTTTGAGCTTCACTTAACCCAAAAATTCCCAAGTTGAATAATGCCCACTATCAAGCTTGCTTTAGGCTTACATGGTGGGCTAGACTCCTTAAGAGTTTAGACCCAATCTATTGTCTCTCAAGCCAAGCTTCATAAAAGAAATTTGAGGCGCCTAATTCGTTCCAGGGCAAGCTTAATAATCTTATCTACCTTGCTTGATCACACCCCTAAGCAGAACATTCCTGATATGTACTAAGTTGTTTTTCTTAGATCTAGACATGCTCATTTTCAATGAAGTCATTTCTATATTCAAATCAAACCCTCAAGTTCTTTAATTTGATTGGTACAAGGTAACTTTTGGATACACATTCCAGTGCTCTACAGTTATAAATTCCACCTCAGATATCCCAAGTCAGAAGGCAAACGTCGCATTTACTATGACTTACTATAGAAAAATTCTCATTGTCAATTTTTCTTTAGTCAATTTCATCAACAAAACCAGAAGCTTTGATGAATATATGCAACCTAACTTTATATATATTTTAAGAGTGAATATCAACTCCAAAGTTCATTGCTTTTGCTATTTCTGAGTTCTACCAAGCAGTAAGAATGAGGAAACTAAGCGTGGGGCAAGATCGATGACCTTAGTAACCCACCGATTATCCCGCGAAGTCCTAACTCCTCCTCCGGCGATCAGCTGCGAACAGTGAGAGCGGGACAAGCTCTGACAACGGCGTCGAGATTGGAGTAGACACCGGCGTGGGCAACGGCGAGGTTCGGCAGACCGGGCAGGACGCGTTCAGCCGGAGCCAGACATCGATGCAGAGGAGGTGGAAGTAGTGGCGGCAGTCGGGTATCATCCGAAGCATCTCCCCTTCCCGGTACTCGCAAAGACAGATCGAGCAGACGGTATCCCCGCCACTGGCCACCGAGAACGGGAACTTAGGGTACGAGCTGATGGCCGCCTGGTCGAGCCCCGAGGCCCGGCCGCCGTCTCCTTCGTCGTCCTCGGCGACGAAGATGATGCGTGGCAGGACGATGCCGTCAGCGATGGCAGGGCTGGGGCCGGGGCCGGGGTCGGGGTCGGGGTCCCTGGATTGGCGGCGACAGCAGACGTAGGAGGCGACGAGGAGGGCGGAAAGGAGGACGAGGAGGCCGAGGGAGACGGCGATGGCGAGGGGTAGGCTGAGGGTGGTGAAGTGGGAGGAGGAGGAGCCACCGGGGGAGGCGTAAGTGGACATGTTGTGGCGGACTGGAGAGGGAGAGGGGGAAGCGGTGGCATTGTGTGGAGGACCGGTAGAGGGAACAGGGTGGGGAGGAGGTTGCCCTTTTGGGTGAGGTGGGTGGGTCTGTGCAGGGACTGCATTTAATGGAGGTGAGATCGAGTGAGGAATAATAATAATAATAATAATAATAATATTATTATTATTATTATTATTATTATTATATTACCATTTGACGTTTTTATAGTTATTACTGTTACTATAATTAACATCATAATCTCCATTATAAAAAAATAATTAAAATTTAAAAATTATGGCTCATATAAACATGATTAATAAATTAATTATTTTATTAATTTATCTGATAAATTTTGAGTGAGAGACTTTCAATTACAATAATAATATGGTAATAATGTGTTTGATCCACTTTCTCAAAAATTAAGAATTAAAAAATATAATTAGATTAATTTTTATACAGAAAATATTAATGTCAATTCCACTTATTAAATCATATGTGAAGTCAGCTAATTTAGTTAGTAAATGTTTTTACCTATTAATAAGCCAATTATAGATATTTTTTTGAGAAGTTATTATATTGGTAAAAACCTAATGTATCCTTAAAAATATAGAAAAGAAAGATCAAAGATATCAGAAGTGGCTGCTCATTTGAGTTGCTCTCTTCTTCTCTGATGGCAGCAGAAACCAAAATATCTTGGTGTTCATCCCTGCTTGATCTCCCAAACACTTCAACTAACAAGTGCATGTTGCATCTCGCACAGCCAAGTCTGCAGTGAAAGAGCAGCTAACCATGATGCTATCAGCCACCACACTCCCCCGCTCAGCAAATTGCACTGTTGGAGGCAGATGCTCTCCCTACAACATTCTCATCCCAATCTTCTGCAAGCAAAGGTTGGGCTCAGAAACACCTTCACCAGTCAAGATTTGTGTCATTTATCACCTCGATGATCGCATCAATTGCCAGAACCAGTTTCTGGAAATCGAATACTGCTGATTTCCAAGCTCGAGAAAGAGTTGATATCTAAGAAATATCTGTGTTCTAGTACTGTTTCCCAGATCCCAACTTTGCCCTGCTCTCTCAATACTGTCGTTAACATGCAGAAGATGTATGCCATCCAAAAAGCAAGAAGAGAAGAGATGTCTCATTTTAGCTCACGCGGATGCTTGTTATGTAGAATCCGATGCCTGTATTGATTGAGGTGAGGATTCCCTTAAACATTCTCATCAAAGGCTTCTTCTTCTGCTTCACTCCTTCATGCCACCGGCTAAGTTAATCCTGTTGGCCTCTCTCCACTCTTCAAACTGACGCATGCAATGGAACCTGTCAATTTTGCATGATTAATGAGAAAGCGAGCTTCCTTTTAGAGATTTATCTGACAAACCGCAGCAGAAACCCCACAAAAGCATCATCTTGGAAGTATGATAAGTCCGAGATCAAGCATCATTCTTCTACCCCAAACGAGATCAATATAAGACATAAGGTAAAGATCAAACAGCCCTATGAGCAAGTTTCGTGATGGCTGTCAACCCGAGACCAACTTGTGGAGACATCGCTGTGGGAGGAGCTTTATTATTGATCAGATAACGTAGCAGGTGTCGAATCCATGCATGCATACATAACACTAATTTGGTCAAGAATCTTCTTCTTCAAATCAAGTTAGTGTTATCATATTCATCTTCCCTTCCATTATTTGTAGGTATTATTCTCCACATTACGTTGTGATATATATGCTTCCCTGCATGCCTCTTTCATCTACTTGCATGCACCACCATCCCAACCTCAAACAACACCCTTTAAATTTCCCGTCTCTGCCGACGGTGTACTCACTTCAGAAGCATATCAATCACATTAGCAGAGCGGGAAGCCCTCGTTTCCAGGAAGCTCTACTTCCTCGTATACGTAAGAAATGATAGCTCTTTCATGTAGGAATCTCTCCCTGCACATCCTTAGGGAAGATGAACTCACCGAGTTGCGTTCATGGCAGAGAATGAACGGGAAGAAAGGCAGCGTCCGAATTGATATTCGCACGCCGGAGACTGCGAAGATGTCCGGTGGTGGTCGAAGTAGCAGCGACAGCATGTCGCCGAGCAAATGGATATGGGACGTGTGGGAGTTCGCCAAGGGGGATACCGACAGGGTGACCTTCTCTCTCAAGGTAGGGTTGGCTTGCCTCCTGGTGTCGTTGCTGATACTAATCCGAGCACCCTATCAAGTGTTCGGCACCAACACCATCTGGGCCATCATGACCGTGGCCATCATGTTCGAATACACCGTCGGTATGTCTCATCCCATCGTGGATGCATGGCTACGTGAAACCAGTTCATATGAAGTGAGACTTCCTGTGTGCTTTCTCCTTCCAGGTGCTACGTTCAATCGAGGGTTCAATAGAGCTCTTGGGAGTTTGCTAGCTGGAATCTTTGCAGTAGTGTTCATGCAAATAGCCATGTCAAGCGGCCACATTACCGAGCCTTACATCATTGGCCTCAGCATCTTCCTCGTCGGTAACTCGCAACTCTCCGTCACTACAATTTCCATGCTCAAAGTTGTACTCGGCATTGAATCTCATGTGGGTAGGAGCTAATATGTTGTAGCGAATTCACGTAGGAGCTATTACATCCTTCATGAAGCTTTGGCCGTCCTTGGTCCCTTACGAGTACGGCTTCAGGGTCATCCTCCTGACCTATTGCTTGATCATTGCCTCCGGATATCGAATGGGAGACCCCGTGAGGACTGCCGTAGACCGGCTTTACTCCATCGCGATCGGTGGTCTCGTCGCAGTCTTCGTGAACCTCCTCGTCTTCCCCATATGGGCCGGTGAGCAGCTGCACAAGGAGCTCGTCAGCCACTTCGATTCCGTGGCTGACTGCCTCGAAGGTTTGCTCTGCCATTCCTACATCTTATGCGCGTCCTGGCACATAGTTTGATCGATCATTCTTGTTCCGTGCAGAGTGTGTGAAGAAGTATCTCAGCGACGACGGATCAGAACAACCTGAGTTCTCCAAGACCGTGATGGATGATTTCCAGGACGAGCCAGCTTATCGAAAGTGTCGTGCCACTTTGAGTTCATCTGCGAAGCTCGATTCCCTGGTACCATTTCCTCAGAACAGAGAAAAGCAACTAAGCTTTTATGCTGATGTCTCATCCTGTGTGCAGGCCAATTCAGCGAGATGGGAGCCACCCCACGGGAGATTCCGACACTTCTTTCACCCATGGGCGGAGTACGTCAACGTCGGGGCCGTGCTCCGTCACTGTGCCTATGAAGTGATGGCATTGCATGGCTGTCTGCACTCGGAGATACAGGTGCGGCACATTAGCAACTCATCCTTTCTCTTCTGTCTCTCTCCTCCCTTCAAATACTTATCACCTGTTCGACGTAAGTCACTAATGCTGCCACAGACAAGCCTACACAAGGCAGAAGGAAGAGCAGCAAAATCATCCTCCATCTGAGAATAGAATCAAATGCTATTCAATAGGATCAGAATCTGATGCGATTTGATTAAGTGCCTCAAGCGTACATAACCAACATCAAATGCAACTTGGAATTTTTTGCAGGCACCCTTTAATCTAAGGTGTGCATTCCAATCCGAGATCCTCGATGCAACGACGCAGGCAGCAGAGCTGCTTCGCAGCATGCGCAAAGACATCAGCAACATGAAGCACGGACTCCGGACGAGCCTTCTCAAGCGCGTCCACAGCTCCACCGAGCGCCTGCAACGCTCCATCGACCTCCACTCCTACCTCCTCACCTCATCTCACCATCTCTCCACTGCTCTCTCTTCAAACCTCATACCCTCCCGAGATCACTCGACCGATCCGGATAGCAAGGGAGTCGAGCCAAACGCAGCGGACACGTTGGCACCTCGAGTGGATTCGTGTCATGACACCACGAAGAAGCAGCAGAGAAGGCTGCGTTCATGGCCTTCCATAGAGGTGACTGATCTGCAGGAAGACGACATACCAAGGATGAGTGCGTTGGAGAGCACCACGGCGTTGTCGCTCGCCACCTTTACCTCATTGCTCATTGAGTTTGTGGCACGGCTCGATCACTTGGTCGAGGCTGTGGATAAGCTTGCCCGGTTAGCTGGATTCAACTAAGAGCTTACAAGCTAAAAGAACTCTCTGTTTTCGTGGTCTCACATCCTGTACAATAAACTGGCAGTATTCATACAATGTGTGTGTGTGTGTGTTTGTGATTTACTACATCAAGAAAGAAGAAAAGTTTGCCTTTGCCATCAGTCTGGCTCCGCGTTCAATTCACAGCTTTATCAATCAATGTAATGCGTCGTTGCTCTATCTAATTTGCTGCAGATTGATTATGCTTAGGGTTATCGCATCAACCATTGAAGCATTGCATTAATGGCTTGGTTCCTCTGGGTGCCGCTGACGGCCGGTCCTCGTTACCAGCCCCGGAGAACGCCGCCGCCGCCGCCGAAATCGCCGGTACGACTCGGATCGTTGTTTCCCCTTTGATGCCGTACCTTTGGGGTTTTCTTTCTTTGATTCCAAGGACGATCTTGAGGTGGTCTTGTCTCTGATGCCGTTCCTATTGCTTTTGTGTTTTTCCCCTTCGATTCCGGCTCCGCTAATGGCTTCCCTCGATGCAAGATTGGATCTTGACGTACTATTTGGAGGATCTTGAGGAGCAGGATCTTGTCTGTGATGCGCTCCTTTTGTGTTTTTAGGGTTTTCTCCCCCCTTCGATTCCGGCTCTGCAGATCGCGCTCCTCGATTCAAGATTGGATCTTGACGGACTACTCAGATGTTGTAAAGCCACAAGATGGACAAAAGGTAGCACATCATACTTCTGGTTTCACATGGATGCAATTGTTCTTGCAGTGGGAATGATCTCTATGAGGGTTTTTGGGTGCATTTTGCAAGTATGTGATATTGTTTTACTAAATTTTACAGGGAATGATCTTAAATTTGCACAATCACCTTCCCCAACCTAAGGTGTCTGGGAAGTATTCATGCATGAAGCATCAATCATCTGCACTATAGTATCCATCAATCATCTGTTGCAATGTAGTTTGACAAAATTTCTTTGATGTGGAAGTGTACATTTAGATGCAAAACGCTCACTGGTTTGTGGTCCTTAACAATTTCCTGTGTCTCACTGTGTCTGACAAATCATTCATCAACACTACTTCTTTAATTTTGTCTAAATTGCCTTTTCAGTTTTGTGTAGTTCTTAGTTAATGAAAGAGACATTTCTATTTGTGTTTGTTTCTGATCAGCCTTAAAGATGGAGTAGTTATTCCCAACTCTCTAATCATGCTGAATGCACCTTAGGATGGACTACTTTTCTAAAAGGAAAGAAGGAAGAGGATAAAGTAAATTCCTACCTGCATTAACCATACTGTTGTCTCTTTTGATTTTTATGCTTGCAAACTGAAGTGTGGTCTGACTCTGAGGATAGGTCTCTCATGCTAGCAATATGTCCCTTGCCATGACAGGCATGTCTGTAGAAAAAGAAATAGATAAAAGAGCGAAATGAAGAAGAAATCTACCATAGTGATTGGTGTCTAACATCATGTTAGCAAGAAATCCTCTTCAACTTTGCTGATTCCCTGTTCTGCTTTGCAAAATCCCTCTGAAATTTTCAACATTGTCACTGAAAGAGGGTCATGAGATGGACAGCTATCATTATCAAAGGAAAAGAATAGGAAAAAGACATCGCAATTCTAAAATACCTTTGCCACTCTTACACTCACAGGGAATATATTGATGGGTTTTCCAGTCGAATTTAAGTGTAATATTTTTATTGGGCTGAAGGACAGATTGTTGTTTAGCTGATAGAGTTGGCTTGGATGTTGTGTGTTCATGATCCAATGAAGTTGTTTCTGCTGTATATAATATTTAATGGTTCTACGCTTTCCATAATGCAGAAACTGTGTCTCTTGTTGCAGGTGATTGGGAAGGCACATGTATATCGCACTGGAGGATCGACCAATGACGATAAATGTTGTTGTGCAAGTAATCAGCTCTGTTTTAAGGCATTTCAGTGAGAACAAAATATGCTGTTCTAAACACAATCTAAGCTTTGTTTCAAAAAAATGGTATATGAAGATCTCAGCACCATGTAAATGCTCGACTCAACGTCTGCTGCAGTGGCTTTTGAGCTTTTCGTTCAGCATATCGGAAGCACGTAGGAGACATCTCCTTTCTTCGGGTTGCACTGCAAGATGGAAACTGTTCTCTCATCTACATCAATCAAAGCAGTGCATAGAGTGTACAATGTTGGACCTGCCATTTCAGCCAATCCTCTCTGTAAGCAAGCATTCTCAATATCTAAAAGTTCATAAGAGTTGCCTTTGTGAGGTCAGTCCACAGTGTATATTACCTGTCATGTAGATCGGATATTTCTCATCTGCAGAATCCCCCAGGATCGAAAGAACTGCTGATTTTGACTCTGCTGAGAGTTGGGCTGCTCTTCTCTGCCTGCTGATAGAGTTCTCATCTTGTACCTCCATGGAGAAATGGTAACAGATGAGCATGGATTCATGTGTAGTTCATGGATCTTATTCGCTGTATACCTGCTCTACTTGGAGGTGGAGATACATGTTTGCGTGGAAGAACGGTGTCTTTCCAACTTCATGAATCGAGAAGCGGTTCTTTGATGCTGTTTCAACATTCAGTATTCTTCGACTGATTACATCTACCAAATTGTAGCTGTGTCCGACTGCAGTGTTGCATGAACAGATTCTCTGCGATCAAGCAGCATGTCAGATTGGTACGTATTCCATCTATTCATTCATGCGGTACATGTCTTACATCCAGGGAATCTTCAAGGCTTGTAGCTTCTAGCAAATCTCGGGATATAAGATTCCGGCCGATACCGCCGGCAATTATCTCTTCCAGTCTTGGAGGCACTGAATTCAACGTGAATGCCTGTGACATGTTTGTTGTCATTTTGTGCCCACAGCAACTCATGCAAAGCAGAGAAAGAAAGGTGGTGGATCTCACAATGCCATTGCTGTTGAAGCCAAACGCACAGCTGGGTAGCTCGCCTGCGTAAGTGTATGCTGTGAACGACGCCCCATTCGGCAGTCTTGCCCTCACCAGGTAGCTGCAGAATGCTATGTATCAGTGCTAATTTTTCGCATCTAGTTTACCTGATATATCGATTCACGCTAAGAAGGATTGCCGCCTACGTGTGGCCAAGTAAAGCTGTGTTTGCGTCTTCATTGTGTGCAGCGATGGCCATGGAGTCGTTTACCACAAGAACATCCGAGCAGTCGTCGTCGTCGTCGTCGTCATCAGCAGCAGCTTCCTTTTGTGGAGTGGTCTCCTCCTTTGGAATGAAGGGGAGGATCTCCTTCCGAAAGTTCAGTAGTATTATCTACTCATGGCAACAACACGAAACAACCGTGCCTGATGTGACTTGTGGAATGGAGAATGAGATGAAGCGAGGAATCAGGTGAAGCAGGAAAAGGGAAGGGGCGGGGCGGGGAGGTTTACATGAAGAACAGGCACGCCGCTGCCTTCGGCAGTTCCCAGCAGTTCCTCCCAGTGCGCCGGAAACCGCTGCCTGTTGGCGCTGCAGATGGCTTGTATCAGTGGCTCCGCCTGCGGGGTTCGAGCAAACGGGAGAAGCTGCCGCTGAAGGACGAGGTCCGCGGCGGCCCTGCTCTGGATCATGCTCGAGAACTTCCGCCCTACGAGATAACCCAACCGGAATGGCTCTTCGCACGGCCCGACATCGAAGAGTTCCAGCGCCGCCGCCTTGCTTGAGCTGTCCATCTCCATGGCCGCGCCAACCTTGTCTCGGCCTGACACCGGAGGCGATCGCCACCTTATCCGTATGGGACTCACGTGTGGACGCTGTACTGCCAGTTGGGTAGGCCCGAACCTGTGGGAGACAGGAGAGACCACGTCACCCCCTGGAAGTAGACCTCGCCGCCACCGGCGCGCGAGGCTCGCGTCATCTGTGAAACTTCTCAGGGGTGATTTGACATTTGATTTACCGCCATTCGATCATGATCCAACGGTTAGATCTCGTGGTCTCGAGGAGGTGCTTGGCATCGGACGGTCAGGATCTGGGTATAGGAGGCATTTAACTTGGCCTGATGTCAAATCAATGGCAGTAGCTAAGATTAATTTCCCCCTTATTTTATTTTCTAGAGGCTAAAAAACAAAAGAAAATGATGTTGAGGCACTCACTCATTAGTTGCCTAATTATATTCTTAATTAATAAAGGAAAAAAATACTTTATTCAAAGTAATAATAAATCATAAAGGAAAATACATCCATTTGTTAGTTCTGTTGGACTCCGATCCGATAGTTAATCTTCTTTTCATTTTCATGAAGATAAAAGATTTATATATAATAATAAATTTAGAATTGGAGTTCGCCATAATTATTTACGTCCAATGTGTGTATCGCTGATATGATTTAAATCAAATAAAACCCAACATTTCGAAAATTTAATTAGTAATTTCTATAAATAATTACCATATGGGAGTTGGGACGATCCTATAAAACTGCGAGCGATTCCTCTGCTTCGTCTCTCTCTCTCTCTCTCTCTCTCTGAACTCCCAGGCTTCCAAACGAACTCGCTCGAACCTCGCTCTCACGTTCTCTACTTCTCTCTCCATCTTGCCTTTCTTTTTTGGGGCAGACATTCTATCCATCTTCGTCTCTGTGAGCTTGGTACTGATCTCATTGTTACAGCAAACCAGCAGAGGTTTCCGTAAGCAGCACTCCCTGCTGCTTCCTGCGCTGTGCTTCCCGAAGCAGACCGTCCTCTTGCCCCTTTTTGAGGTACAAAAAGAGCTCTCTCTCTCTCTCTCTCTCTCTATCGCTCTCTCTATCGCTCTCGCTCTCTCTTGAAGATTCTTTGTGTATCGTGGAGGAGAAGGGAGAAATCGGTAGGAGGTATAAGTAGTGTACGTGAGTACGCTATTGTTCGTTGCCAAAAGGCCGTAGCTTTCGTGGAAATTGCACTGCATTACAGTTTTGTGGCCTCGATTCGGGATGTAGTTTTTCCACTTTTTGGGAACTGTTGATGTTGGTGGTGGTGGTGGTGGTGACGCTATCCGGTACGACTTTATTCGCCTCGGCTGTGGGATATCAGAGGATTCGCCCTTTTGCAGTCTCCCATTTGTGCGTTTTGCTTGGGCTCTTTCTTAATCTTCTTCCATGTTTCTGCTTTTACTTTTTCTCCTTGCTTTTTTGGCGTGGAAAAGGTTGGATTTTTATGGTTTAATGGCTTTGGATGTGGAACAGGGTGAAGGCACAGCAGCTGCGCATATAAAGTGAAGTGAAGAGGGGGAGCAGAGCGAAGCAAGCTATTGCTGCTGCTGAGAGCGATGGAGACGACGCTTTTGGTGCCCATCACGCGCACGGAGCACGTCGACGTGACCCAGAAGCCCGTCTCGCCGCCGCAGGCGAAGCGAGGGCCACTCCCCGCGCCGCCCCGCACCGTGCGCATCTTCTGCGACGACTTTGACGCCACCGACTCCTCTGGCGACGACGACCTGCCCTGCCGGTCCCGCCGCCGCGTCCGTCGCTACGTCCAGGAGATACGGCTCGAGGCCCGCCCCTCCTACTCCGGCAGGAGCAGCAAGGCGCCGCAGGGCGCTCCCGCGAGGAAGAGGAAGCCCGCTGTCACAGACGCCGGTGATGGGAACGGGGACGGGAACGTGAAGCGGTTCCGCGGCGTTCGACGGCGGCCGTGGGGGAAGTACGCCGCGGAGATCCGCGACCCGTGGCGGCGGGTTCGAGTGTGGCTCGGCACGTTCAACACCGCCGAGGAGGCCGCCATGGTGTACGACTCCGCCGCCATCCAGCTCCGCGGCCCCGGCGCCATCACTAACTTCTCCCGCACCCCTGCCCAGCCGCTGAAGAAGAACCTTTCCGACAACAACCTCTCCTCCTCCATTTGCGGCGGGTACGACTCCGGCGACGAGTCGCGCAACCTCTCCTCCCCGACCTCAGTCCTCGGCGGCTTCCCTTCCTCCTCCTCCTCCTCCACTTCCTCCTCTTCCTTCTCTCCCTCGCCCTCCGCCTCCGGCAAGGAACCACCGCCGGGGCCTCAACCCGCCAGCGAGAGAAGCTTACCGGAGGAGCTGCTCGGCGACTCCATGCCGTTCGAGGGGGTGCCGCTACTCTTCGACGACTTCCTCCGCGGCTTGGAGCCGGGCTACTTCGACTACTCGGCGCCGATCGGCTTCCTGGCGGTTGAGCCGAGCGACGGCGTCATCGGCGCGCGGAGAGACATCGACCTAAGCCAATCCACGTGGCAGAGCGATGACTGCTTCGAGGACATCGGCGACTTATTCCCGATCGACCCTCTCCCCGCCCTCTAATCGCGGGCGAGTCATCGGCCCGTTAAGGCGTCGTGGCGGCCAGAGCGGCGAAAAAGGCGGCTTCTTTTTCCTTTTCCTATTTATACATGTTCTCTACGGTTACGTCAGTTAACGGCGACGGAACGGAAATCAGGCAGTGAGTGCAATTGTTTTTCCTTCGTTTTCTTTATTGGTATGTATAAGAAAGAGATGGGGAGGGTGTCATCTTAAAAGGGGCGGTTAAAGTGGGATATCGGTGGGGGTCATTTTGAGGACAAAGGCTGGCTTTGGGTGGTGATTACTTCTTCTCTTTTACTGTCAAAAGTGACTCAACTCTCCACCCCATGGATTGGATGGGAAGCATGCATGGCCTTGAGTAGTTTTTATCTTCCAAAGCATAGCTTCTGTGACCTATCTGTGCTTGTTTGATGGCCATGGCCCTCTCTGTTGTCACAGTTGCTCCAAGTGTCCTTCCTCCTGATGACCTCAAGGAACATGGATTAACTCTTGATATGACTTGTTGAGACACAGTGTTCTGTACATCTCCAAGTGTCCCATGTGGGGAAATGTTCTGTAGGCAGTCAAACTAAAAGCATTGGAAGGTTCCAAAGAAAAGCCATGAGTACTCTACTTGGCTTTCAGTTTGTGTGAGTATTTTGACTGATTCAAGTCCAATCAGGTACATCAAGTTTTCTTTTACATATGAGATACTATTGATGGAACAGTACTATAGTGGCTCTATTTCTTTCCAGAGAATCTTATCCAAAAAGGAGAGAACTTTCAACATCATTACCCAAATGTGGTTCATCATGCATGCTAAATTTCACTGATTGGTTCAGGTGGTAAGGTGCAAAGTTCTTACCAGCTGTTGCTTCTGGATGTTTTGAGTCCCAGAGGAGATTAAAGATTGATGATAAGCTTCCCAGAGATGCAAGAGGCTGCTCCACTGGGAAGAGCAGCACTTCCGCAAACACTAATCATGTCTCCCCTGTTCTTCCCACTGGCAGTAGAGCATTTGTCTTGGTAAATAACAAGAGAGCACACAGCTTTGCAGCCCAGGCTCTAATTGTGAATCATTTGATTTGTTGTTGTGTTTGGTGTTCTGTAAAAGAGTCATCATGCTTGTCTGAAGATGGTTGGATAAATATTCCTGTACAATGCTTAAAGATGCAATGATACAACTTTGTGATGCTACCCAATGGAAGAGTAGCCATCAAGCTTCATCAGTCAAAAACACAAGGAATTATTTGGTCCAGGTTGCTTGGATTTCCTGAAAAATCATTGTTGTGTGTGGTAGGGTCTCAGCAGATAAGTTTAATAAGCTGTGTGTTTGAAGCATGCATTATTACTCTAAGTTGAACAAAAAGGACACAATCTTATCCTCTCATGCCCATGATCTATTATCTCATAGCAGTCAAGAAAATGATTTGACACACAAGGTAAGAAGCTCCTATACTGCACAAATTAATGCAGAATTCTAATAATTAATCAACAATGCTGTATCTATCAGTCAGTTAAATGTTAGTATTTGAGTATATCCAATGGTTTACTTGGCAAATTTCATGTGAAGGAACAGATGTTTTTAAGTGATTTCTTGGCAAATTTCTCAGCACAGTGATCATCAGCAAATTTCCTTCTGAGAGAGTGACTGTATCATACTGCTTGAAATATAAGTGTCACACAGAATTATGTGCATTAACTGTTCATGAGTTACTATGAACTTCTTTTCAACAATGGGGCATCTGCATTATGACCTTGTCCTGTGAAATCCTACAGCTTGGCTGGTCTCTTTGTTCAGATAATTTCCTGCATTCTCATTGAGGATAAGACACCAAAGTCAATCAATCTTTTCAATTATTATGCTTCCTTCTTTCAACTCACTATCCACCTAAGAACACCACTATAAGAGATTGTATGATTTTAATATAGAATTTGCTGAGATAAGCATGACATTTATTCAAGATGCTATGTTTTCTTCAGAAGGTAAAGAGACTTTATGCAATGATTCAGTTGGAGTCATCTATCAAGCCTTCATTCTTTGTTTTGGAAAATGTTGATCCTCTTGACAAGAAAAGGACAAAAGCTTTGTGAAGATAGGGGACCATGGTCACCCCCAGTGGTCCTTTTTAACTTTTGTTGTCATTCTCTTAGGACATGGTCCTTCATTCCAATATGTGGATTTTGTCTGACTAATTCCTCTATCCTAAGCAAAAACCAGATATAGCTGTGTGTGATGGTAAGATGGTAAAAGGAATTCCAAAGGGGATCACCTCTGAGCTCCTGCTACAAGGATAGGTACAACAGTACTACAAATTAAAGCTCCTTTTGAGTTTATCTTACCACTAACTGACATTGGTTCATTTGATCTCTTCAAGCTAGATTACATCATTAGGGATAAACTTAATTAATAGGGTGGCTTGGGTGTTGTAAGCTTCCACTAACTTTTGAATATACCCTTCCTGAAATGCCTACTCAAGTGTCAAAAAGGTGCATAGAGCACTTGTGTTGAGATTTAAAGGAATCTGTTCTAAATAATAAGATTGGCAAATGGTTCAGTGAAAACAGGAGTAAGAACCCAACTTGTTCCTTTTGCTACCCATCCATGTCTTAGCTATCATGGCAACCGACTTTACTAAGTCCTTGGTGATTGAATTGCCCTCATCTTCTTCCTTTAATCAGAGGAAAGCAGAAGCCTCTAAAGGTCCAAACAGTTTCATCTTTCTTGGGCCTTCCACCATGCATCCATCTCTGTCATCATTCCATATCCATGGCAGGCTCAGTTTCAACCACATAAAGCCATGCTAAAAGAATACATACTGGAGAAACACTCAGCAATTGCAGGCCTTTTTCTTGTGTTGATGATTGGCACTGGGAGATATCACTTGCACATATTACCCCTAAGAAATGCCAGATTG